GGGAGGGGGTGGTGGCAGACGGGAGGTGGGAAGAGAAAAAGGGAAAGTGCCGGTTCCACTATGAGCTTTGTAATCTATCACCAGGCAGTAACACAAAGGCTAAACAGGGTAGACAAGCACAGAGAGGCTGGGGAAGAGAGAGAGAGAAGAAAGAAGTACGGGGGCCTGGAGACCAATGACCTACTACATCCAAGCTGATCAATAACCCCCTGCGGACAAACCACACGCTTGCAGGTATGATGCAGGATGTGTCGCCTCCCGTATACCTGTTCAAGTGCACGACCGTGCTACCATTATTAAAAAGTAGAGAGAACAAAACTTGATCCCTCCCCTGAAACACACACCTTGACAAAAGTGTGTGTGTGTGTGTGTGAAAGAATGAGAGGGAAATGAAAGCAATACAAAATACCTACAGTGAGGTGCTGTACTGCTGCTTTGCTGAGGTTAGAGTAGTAGTCGTAGTAGCATTGACAGACATGGCTTTATAAGTCTGTATTGGTTTACACAGAACGTGCAGAAACTCCAGGCGCTTGTTTTCTCACACCACCTCCTCCCTGTTGTCTTGCTTTAAGGGGATCTAAATTTGTCATGATCTGTAGGCCATAATAAATGAGTCTCAAATGTTTTCTTTTCTTCTTTTTTTGTGTTTCCTCTCATAAATTTAATCAAAACATACCCAACAATTTCATTTTCAGTCACTGTGCCATCTGTTTTTTTCCTCTGATATACACAAATTACTGAAAGAAGTACACGATCAACACAGTTACTTACATCAGGCAAAGGGTTTAACGGTGAAGAGGGTTGGAAGATTGGCAGCTGATTTAAAGACGACACAAACAGTACAAACTAGTATCTATGAAAGACACTGTTTCCCCACCTAGTGCAATGAGGCACATATAGTATACACACATACAGTACTCTCTCTGTCACCCACCCACACACACACACACACACACACACACACACACACACACACACACACACACAATGGCTCCTTGTAAAGACACATGACAGAAGACACATTTGGCTCTGGGACGAGCGTTTCAGTCTGTAGATGCTGGGATTTAGGGACTGAGGGAGGCAAAGATGGAAGAAGGACGAGGGAGGCGGTGAGCACAGAAACGTGCCACATACAAGGTCACAGTGACACAGGCATACACACACACACACAGACAAATACAAAAAAATAAAATAAAATAAAATAAGAAACACCCACAAACACAAAAACATACACTAATAAAAGCAACATGGACATGTGTGTCCTTCTAGAGTCTTTTCAGGGACATGGTGTGGTATTAAATGTTCTCAGTTGAAGCTTGAAGATGACTTCTTGAGATAAGAAAACAAAAAGTCCTGGAATGATAGAAAAATAAAACAGTAGTGAAATCTTTCCCCTCAATCCTCCAGCGATCGCACTCCAAACAGATGCTGGTCTGGTAGTAAACCCAGGTTTCAATCAAATCTGCCAGTTTAGCCAGCAAACCTGGGACGATCAAACAGTCCACGCCTGTCAGAAGCTCACACCTTCTCATCCTCGGTGCACTGTAATAAATAGGCATGAATAAACTCCTTTCCTGATGTTATATGTATGTTTCATTGCACAAAAGAAACAGCAACATTATTTGGAAAAATAAAAGTTGAAGTTTGATGAGCACCATGAGGATGCTGACAAAAAGACTGAGGAAGAGGGACCCATTTCAAGGTTGCGTGACGTGCTTCGACCAATGAGTCTGTCCTCATTTGTTGCTCCTCTGACATCAATAAAAAACACTAGATGCTTGGTCGTCTTTCCTCTGGGAAAATTAAGTGAGATAAGTCTGAAACCAGAGAGTACGGAGCCCGGAAAGGCATCCAAAATAGCCGGGAGAATCCACCATGGACATTTTGTCCTGCTTAGTACTACATGAGATGTTTTCCTATACAGTGTGGCATATACTGTACACCAGTGCTGCAAAGAAAAATATCAACGTAGTGATTTTCTTCTTTTATAGTCTGTATAAGGGCATGAACCTTTGGTCCTGGTTGAAATGACCATTCTAGGATGGCTTTCTTTTTTCCTTGTTTTCCCAAGAGAGAAAAGTTTGTCACATCACACTCCTCCTAAATGATATACTACACTAATCTGAAGCACATATGTACTACGCACATACCACAAATTCTGCGTATTTGTGTGTGTATGAGAGTGTGTGAGTTATGTGTATGCATTCTGTTGCTAGATCCTGCTGTATCATGTAACGTTCATGTCTGTAAATGTGATGCTCAAAGTGAAGGTAGTGGTGGATGGTTTTTCTTCCCAGCGTGGTTAAGACGGCACAGGACTTGGAGGATTCATTAGGAGCAAAACAGCACTAGCAGTTGGACACTAGCTGTGTCTCCACGTCTCTCTTTCTTTGATGGAGAGAATTATTCACAGATGAGAAGAAAGAAAGGAAAGTCTGGAGCTGGAGAGATGATAATGACCTGAAGAAAGAGAGAATAAGAGAGAGGAGGCAGATTAAGCATGAGAGAGACAGTAGGGGGGCGGGAGAATGTATAAGCAGAATGCAGTACTGTAATCTTGCGAAGGGGTTGAGAAGAGGGAGATACATTACATAACCCATAACATTTAGATTATACAGATGCTTCTGCCTTACAGCTCCTACATCTGACAGCTACAGCCTCCACTTTATCACACACTTGCATTTAGGTCACGCTTTTAAAGACTTAACCAGTTTTCTTGTGTAAATTTGACTCAAGAGCATCTGCTACTAAGTACGTGGATGTGTCTACCATACTTTAACACTCCAAAACATTGAGTCTGTATACTGTTGAAAAAGCAAGAAAGGCTCACAGTTTTAATCGGAGTGAGGACTGTCCACCACAATGTGTGGCTTAGGAGAGGATGTAGTAGCACTCTTCGACACAAAGGTACCAACAGCTTTTTCCTGCAGGGAAAAAGAGATTTTTGCTATTATAAATTCACTGATACAAAAAGGACCCCTTTGGAAACATTCATTTGACATAAATAAGCAATTTAATATAATATAAGATGCCTTTACAACAATGATTACTATTAAGATCAGGCTGTGTTCAGACTGAGTTTCAAATGTCTGAAAAAAATGCAGCCCTCTCCCTTCATTTCTATGTGGGATTGCATTCACTAAAGCTGGTCTTGCGTTGAAATCTGTTCCCCCGTTGATATGTGTTTCCCCCTGATAAAACTGTTTCTAGTAGCGCCCTCTTGGTGGTTGTGGTTGGGATAAGGCTAGGGTTCAGCTTAGGGGAAACAGATTTCGACACATCGGCACCGGCACCACAGGGAGCTCCAGCAAACTAACACAGCTCCATCCGACAAAAAAAGTTGGATTTGGTTTAATTTTTGCCTCATTGACCAATTATATATGGGGGACGGTCAGAAGGTAGATGCCTATGGGAAGAAGACTCTTTTGTTTACCAGGTTAGCATGAGGATTTGTCGATATTCACTGTTGAATTTGGGCCACAGTTACAAACACACCATAATAACACACAATGTGTTTTTGTTATTTGGGCTATTGAATCTTAAATGGTGTTTTTTAAATCTATCAGTGAAAAACACAGCAGGGAGTTGCATGTTACCTTACTCAGTCTGAATGCTTAATACCACTTTCATGTATTTAGAGTAAATATGAAGTTGAGCAACTCGGTAGCTTAGCTTAAAGAGTAGAAAAGTGGAAACAACCACTTCTCTCCAAAGGTAAAAAATATATATCTACAAGCACAAGCAGTTACTGTGCAGATTAAGATTTTACTTCCAAAACATATTATCAGCTCTTAAAACAGGATGTATTATTATAGACTAACTAACCAACATTATATAAAGAATTAAAATTCTGTATGTTGAGTACATTTAAATGGATAATTAAGTCAATTTTGATGCTAATACTCATATACTTTATGTGAGTTCAAGACTTCTAATAAAATATTTTAAAATTGTGTTTCTGCTTCTTTCCAAGTAAACCTGAATATTCTTCTAACACTGTTACTGTGCCATACTGCTACTACTACGACTACTGTTATTCTTCAGGTATCACTGCTGCTGCTAATACTACTTCTCTGATTAATAATAATCATCAATATGATAAAATTATTTTGATTATCGTGCTCAGCACCAGAACTAAACATACTATATGCAGTACGAGATAATGATAATCACATTGATGGGCCAAGCATGTTACACACAAGGAATTTGTTTCTGGTACAGAACCGAGGCAATCATGTGCGGCGCCAACTCAATCGATGGCTCTAACCATCGGGGGCAATGGGGATGGGGGGGGTTCAGTGTCTTGCCCAAGGACACTTCGACATGTGGACTGCAGGCACTGAGAATTGAACCTTCAACCTTCCGGTTGGGAGACGACTGCTCTACCCACCGCACTGTCACCTCCTCCGAGATCATGTTCATGATACATTGATGCAAACACGAACACACACATGATCATATGCTCATTACCTCAACAAGCTGATGCCAGTGCTCTATTGGTTTGCGTGGGTTGGCCAGCATGGCTGCCCAGTGCTCTCTCCCTGGACCATCAGCATCACTGCCCACACGACACATCCCTATAACTTCGTTATGACCAATACTGACACGATAAATGGGATGGAAGCAAGGACAAGAGAGACAGAGTGTGAGAGCACAGCAGAGGGTGGGAAAGGGAGGTGGCGAAGAGAGGGAGAGGGAGAAGATTTTAAAAAAGAGGTAGAGAGAGAGAGAGAGAGAGGGAGAACTTGTAAGTAACAGGCAGAGAGAGTCTCATTTATCAACCCTGAGTACTGGGAAAAAGTACAGAGGCTGAGGAAGAATATTGAAAAGCAGCTCACAACACACACACACAGCCCTGTGTAAAAGCTTGATGGCAGCAGAGAAACAGGCAAGAGCACAAACAAACTAAAGCACACACCTATGGAGTTGCCAAATGAAGGGCAGACTACACAATAGGGAGGCAGTGCATCTCTACACAAACACGTCAACCAGCAGAATTTTGCTGCGAGTGGCAGACTGACAAACGCTGGCAGGGTTACACTTCTTCCTTCACCATTACCATAAATCATGCTTATTCATGAGGTGCCTGTCTATGTAAAACAGGAATCGTCCACCAGGAGACTGACTCATGAGGGGAACCTCATTGTGTTCAACACAGCCACCGTGCCAACTGTGATGGCCAAAAAGCAGCAGCAAACATTACACTGCATGTGCTGCATGAGCTATATACTAACAGCTCAGCACGCTCACCAGTCATAGTCCATCACTGCAATGAAGATGGATACACTTTCGATATTTTCATTGGGAATGTCAAACACCAGCGCCTCATTGTATGTGGGATTCAGTGTGTTCTTCTTAATGGAGGTCTTCCTCTTTTTTAGCCTTCGCCCATCACAGATCAGAGAGGCCTTCACATACGGGTCTGAAGGAGAGACAAGGAGAGAGAGGGAGAAAGATGAAAAGGGCGAAGAGAAGACAAGGAAGATGGGAGGGTTGGGAAAAGACTGTGAAAAAGGGAACACACCGGGGAGAAAAAAGGAAGAGAGGGAGGTAGGATGAGAAGCAGTGAAGAAGAAAAAGACAGGGAAACAGAGGAGGAGTAAGCGGAAAGAATAAGATGGGGGGGGGCTACTGCAAACACTCTTAGGTATTATGCTCCCAGGTATCTGTGTATAACACATAAGAGGCATGAAAATCAAGTCACCTTGGCAAAGCTGGATTAAAAACACAAAGGAAGAAAAACAGCAGAGGATGAATCACCTCAGTTATTCATTCAACATGTGCGGCTCAACGAAAGCAGCTAGGGAAACACACACCCCCACACAGTTCAGTTTTTATGCTGCATTTCTAAACCTCTTTCAGGCACTGCAATCATCTTAGATCCACTGTAGCACTAATAACAGAATGTGGCCATTATTAATTGAGAGCTCATTTAATCTGAGATGCATTCCTGAAGGTGAAAAAGAACTAAAGGATAAAACCTTTGTTCATTCAATATTAGCTTTGCAATCACATTTCCTGATCTCAGTATCATGGGTAAACCTGTTGATGTTTATCTCTGCAGATATAATTGGTGCTGTACATGCAGCTGATTTTGCTTGCAAGACACACTGAAACCAAATTTTCCTGGATGTCGCTTTAGTTACAAATTAACTTTCTAGCTTCAGGTAATGCATTTATAATGTCTAAACTACTACTTCTGGAAGGAAAAATCTACCCTGAGATTTTCTTACGTGGTTAGAAACGATCAATCTTGTGATACTCTTTTTTTCAGGAACTATTTAGCAAAGATTTATAGTAATTTACTTTTTTTGCCCTTCTCCTAACATGATTTGTAGATTTCTACTTCACTTGGTGATTTATTAGGTTTCTGCTAAACTTTTGAGTGCAAACTTTTATTGGCAGGAGGAAGGAACAATAATAATGAGAGTAAAAAAAGGGAGGGGGTGCAGTTTCATCCTAAATGCATTATACTGTATTTTGTTGCTGCACTGTATTATGGCTTATTTTATGCAGGAAGCCGGCAGTGTTAAAGCAGTTATTTATCAAGTGCTTCCTTTGAACGAGGAACGAGTGTGAATGTGTTTAATCCCTTACCGGAGAAGCCAGTCAGGTCCATGGCTTTGAGGTTGGTGGCCTTGATGATGGTGACAGTGAGTCTGCCTGCAGTGGGCAGGTAACACAGCGAGAAATTAAGCTCCCCGAGATCAGCCTTCTCCTGTAAATCACCGCACACACAAACAGGGATCAGAAATTGGAGAGGGGACGCTGCGATCGCACATACTCCTTGGTTTTCAGTGATCGCCTGTGGCTTAAAAAGACCTACATCTGTGAGAGCTGGTGACTGATAGCTGGCATCCTAATGTAGACAGGCAGTGTTTAGGCAGAGGGGAACTGCCGCCACTGTAAATGAGTCATATGCCAGTCTGTTGATGTCCCTGAGTGGAGGAAAGTGTTAAGCAGAGGCGGTGATTCTCCAAGTTTTTTTTAATTTCCCTCCACTCCATTCTACTGTACTGATCTCCTCGTGGTCTGTGGTCCCAGCAGCACCGCAGTAATGACACCGGTGGTATTCAGGTCACACTGTGGCGTGATGACTCCTTAGTGGCTCTGAGCCTCACTAATCAATACTTCCCCAAGTAAAACAGTGAAATAAGGGGGGAGGTTTATGCTTTAAACTTATTTAATAAATTAAACATCCATGCCAAAATCTTTTATGACTTTGCTCTGTCTAATTTGCTAATAGCCTCCCATAAATATTTCATATAAATTTACTTGGACGGATAAAATGTTTGGATGTGGCCAACAGTGCATTTCCCGTAATCTGTCAGACTCTCCTAAGTTGTTTATTCACATTACCAGACTCTGAATTAATCTGTCCTGCAGGCATTTGTAGTCCGCACAGTTTGTGTGCATCATTTCTCCACATTCTGCATGAGCTTCAACCAACAGACACTAATGCACACACTTCTTTGAGCCATATGAAAGCAAAGAAAGACCGCAATCATTTGAATGCAATGAGAAACTGAAGACTTGAGATTGAACCATCAGAGAATACTTAATGCTTTACAGTGGAAGACCTGGACCTATGAATTTTGATTTCTAAATTTCACCAATCCAGTCTGATACTTTGGCTTAACTTGAATTTTCTGATATAAAAATAGCCAGCTGACTTTGAGAAACCTGAGTATTGATTTTTGAAAAACATCTAAACACGTGAACCCTAAAATAATTCCAAAAAACATGTTTTTGAAATTACACAATTTGAA